TACTATCACCATTATCGCACAAACCGCTTATATTATAAAAATGTGATTAATTTGGTAAAGTTAATCAGAAGAAGAGTGGATGAAATGAAAATTAATGTGAAAGCAAGTGAAAAGTAATTATCACCAAGTGCGCCGTGTGTGGGGTGGGGGCAAAAATCAAAAGCTAATAATAATCAGCCAACGATTGAAAGCTGAGAATCAAAGAAAGCACATCAAATAATAATAAAAAGTGTCTAAATTAAAAAAAAAAATAAAAAAAAATAAAAAAGAAAAAAAGGTGTAAACGTTTAAATAAAGACTTCATGAAGAAGCTTCCAAAGACATGCATCAATCAATCCTCTAATCTTCTAATTTACTCTGCCCCCACACACACACACCTCTATTCTATGTATTGTCCATTTCTCTAATCGGCCCCCCACCCCCCAAAATAATGCGCCGCCCCCACCCCCCGCGGCCCCCGCCCCCCATATCGCCATGCACGCAAAGATAAAAAGCCTACAATCATCACTCGGCCAAAACCCCCTCCCCCCGCTTCTATTTTTCCATTTTCCAACATATTTCATTTTTTTTCTAGCTTTGATTTTTGTTTTTTCAAGAAATGAAAGTACCCTTTCCTGCTGCAAACAATCACAACACCTCCAAACCAGCGCCGTCGTCCAATTCCGCCACCACCAACGCCGCCGCCCCCGCTCCTCCTTCCGCCGCCGCCGCCGCCCACAGCAGCAGCAGTAGCTCCCCTAATTACGAGCCCAAATCCGTCCTCGAGCTCCGCGGAAGCCCGAGCCCGGTTTCCGGGAAGCCCAACTCTGATTTCTTGATCGGCGGCGGCGGCGGCGGTGGTGGTGATCGTCTAATTGAACTGGAAGATCATGTGCTGAATAATATAGAGCACCCGCAGTTGGAGGATTGGGATTCTTTGATGAGAGACTTGGGTTTGCACGACGATTTCAATCCCGTTTCTAAACCCTTCTCTTCTTCTTCTCAATCCGATTTAACTCACCAGATTACTCACAACATTAATAATAATAATAATAATAACAATATTCACTACTCGGAACTCGCCGAGTTCCCGCCGGTCACCTCGTTCGAGTCGACTCAGTTCGCGGCCGCGGATTTCGGCCTCCTCCCTGACATCCCCATATACTCATCCGCCGCGCCTCCGACTTCCTTCGAAGGCCTCTCCGGCGACGCCAACAACAACAACTGGAACGTCGGGTTCGACTACGTGGACGAGTTGATCCGACTCGCCGAGTGCTTCGAGACCAACTCGCTCCAACTCGGCCAGGTGATACTGGCGCGGCTCAACCAGCGGCTGAGGTCCCCAGCCGGGAAGCCCATCCAGCGAGCCGCGTTCTACTTCAAGGAGGCCCTCCAGTCGCTGCTCACCGGGTCGACCCGTCCGAGTCACCACGCGGCGAGTTCGTCGGAGATTATCCAGACCATCAAGGCGCAGAAGACGTTCTCCAGCGTTTCGCCGGTGCCCATGTTCGCCGGCTTCACGGCTAACCAAGCCGTGCTGGAGGCCATGGACGGCTCGATGAGCGTCCACGTCATCGACTTCGACATCGGCATCGGCGGCCACTGGGCCTCCTTCATGAAGGAGCTCGCCGACAAGGCGGCGGAGTCGCGCAGGGCGGCGCCGCCGCCGGCGCTGCGGATATCCGCCCTGGTGCCGGAGGAGTACGCGGCGGAGTCGAGGCTGATCAGGGAGAACCTGACCGCGTTCGCCCGGGATCTGAACATCAGATTCGAGGTCGAGTTCGTGCCGGTGCGCACCTTCCAGTACCTTTCGTTCAAGGCGGTCAAGTTCGCCGACGGCGAGAAGGTGGCGGTGCTTCTTTCCCCGGCGATATTCCGCCACGTGGGGACGGAGTTCCTGAACGATCTCCGGCGGATCTCCCCTCACGTGGTGGTGCACGTGGACGTCGAGGGGCAGATGGGTTTCGGTACGGCGCCGTCGTACAGGCAGGCGGTGATCGACGGCCTCGAGTTTTACTCCACGCTCTTGGAATCTCTGGAAGCCGCGAACTTCAACAATGGCGGCGCCGGCGGCGGTGGTGAGTGGATGAGGAGAATCGAGACCTTCGTGCTGTATCCGAAGATAGTGGAGGGGGTGGAGGCGGCTGGACGGCGGGGGACGCCGTGGAGGGAGGCGCTGGTGGCGGCGGGGTTGAGGCAGGTGGCGCTGAGTCAATTCACTGAGTTTCAGGCCGAGTGTTTGCTAAGGAGAGTCCAAGTCAGAGGGTTCCACGTGTACAAAAGGCAGGCGGAGATGCTGCTCTGCTGGCATGAGAGGCCACTTGTTGCCACGTCAGCGTGGAGGTATTAGGGAAAGATTAATCTCTCTAATTGTGATTAGATGGATATTAAGCAATGAAAAAAATTGAGGGTTAGGAATGAAATAATATATATATTAATCCTGACCTGTTCATGGTTAACAGCCCTGTAGTTTATTTAAGTTGGTGTTTAATTAGCTGGATAATTAACTAATTAACTTTTGTCACTAATGTGTTCTCTTGAATTTTAACTCTAATTTTCCATACCATTTTGAATTCAAAGGTTATTCTTCCTCAAAAAATATATATATATAAAATAATGTAAGATAAAACCCAAAATTGTAAAGTACAGTCAATTAATTTTGCCCTCGTGTTATAACTCGCAAATCACACTGAATATATAAGCTACACTAAACTACTGTGTGTAACGAACTCAATCAACAAAGTGTCCAAAATATCTCGATTTCAATGATATTGCGCTCTTTTACTATACCAACTAGGCCACCCCTTTACGAAACACGAATCATGAAACTCACTTCGTATATCAGAGGAGATTTCACGAAACCCTTTACATATAACATTGTCGAGATTTCAAGAATTCAATGGTAAATAATCTCTAAATAACTTATGTTACAATAAACTTATATTTTCATCACATAGCTAATGAAAATATTTATGATTACTTGGAGTTAAACCAAACCATGAGTTATCTTATACTTCGATTCGAACCAAAACATTGGCATAGTTCGTTTTCATTCGACCATCGGTATGATTTTTTTGGCATTGACAAATCGTTGATATAGTTGGCACGATTTTACTTCACGCCCCGGAATTCTCTTTTCAAGTTTCACTTGGATTGTCGTTTGTCCGCGACATGAAGTTTAGATTTGATAACAGTTGAAAGAAATATTTCAAATGTTTGTTATTTTCAACCTCTTATCACAATCCACTTAAAAATTGGATCAAGTTAAGAATTAGAGATTCAAAGTTTATTGTAAAATAAAATCATTTCATAGCAGAGATATTTTGTCGAAGAAGGACAAGACCGGCCAGTTTGACCGGTCAACCCGCGAAACGGCCCTTGGTCTGGTCCGATTCACTGTCCAAACGGAAAAGACACACACACGCGCGCGCGCGCACACACACACACACACACACACATCTACTTCAATGAGTGAGGATAAAGAATACAACTGAGAACCATGACAATTTATAAATCATCAAATTTCTACAAAACCGAAAAAAGCAAAAAAAATATAAGATCTTCGACACCGTTAGACTAACATGGATAATTAGTATTAAAATAATACTAAAAATGTTGTACAGTAGTGTACATATAGATTAGCAGCAGGCACAACAGTTGGTCTTTCACCCCAATCGAACTACACTAAAGAAACAAAAGGATCTAGAATGTTCTAACAATTACCTTCATCCGCACGAGACTTAAGACTGCAGATGCGGAGCAGAATTTCCGTTGTCTAATTTAGACACGACTTCGGGCCCACACAACTTGGTTAGCTCGTCCTGTTTTCAGAACCAAAACTATCGCTTGTCAGGATTTTATAAGATTATAATTTGTCTACTCTACAACAGCTCTAGTTACGTTTACTCTTTCCTTTTCTTTTTCTTTTTTTTAGTTAACCTTCACATTATTTTATTTGACATAAAAAAAAATTTAAAAAAAAAAAAAAGGAAAAAATAAATAAACCTTAATGGAGTTATTCTCGGATGCGAGTTTCTGGCAGTCCTTGGAAAGCCTGTCCAACTCGTCTCTAAGAGTGCGATTCTCGTTATTTAATGCTTCTACCTTGCGTTGAAGTTCTTCACACTCGGCCTGCGAAGAATGAAACATATTCAATTTATAAAAACATCAATAGGAGATGGAAATTAAATAAAGTTGTTCACTGGGCTTTTTGGACGAGTTTGTAATAATAAAGTTAAATTGGGGCTAAATTAAACATAGAGGTAAGACAGGGGGTAGAAGTGCATGGTCACGAGATTTTCCATCCAAGTTAACACACAAATCAGACGGTGGACGAAAATTGTAAAAAAACTGGTTATTTGAGGACCAATTCCATGCCACAAAAAAATTAAGGACCAAAAAAAAAAAGTGTATATATAGGGACCAAAACTGTATTTATGTTTACTGGGGTTTATTGCAATTAGTACCCGTTATATCGAATTGCTAGAAAACTACTCCATGTTATTTTATTAGTAAATAAAACCCTGCAATTCAATTTTTTGTTTAGAACACAGCCCTCTAGGGGTACTAATTGCTAGAAAAAACTAAATCATAGAGGGGGGTTTTGCCAATAACATAACATGAGGTAGTTTTTTAGCAAATCGATATAGCACAAGGATACAAATTGCAATAAACTCATACGTACTGCAAAAGTTGTTTACAAATATTTTCACAAGAAGTCGAGTACACACCATGTATATATTTTCAAAAGGCCATCGTTTATCAATGGTGATAATATTGTAATCAATAATGAAAAATCTCTGTTTAAGTCCATAAAGAGTCGAGCCTTCACAACTGCCATCGGCTTATTTGGGCCTTGTTTGGGAACTAAGATTAGACTTGACAGACAATATAATCAAGCTTTGTCAAATGATTTGGTTTAGGTTTCAAGCCAATGATAAAAAACGGGGCCTCGATATGAAGGATATTTAATTCCAACTCAACCCCCAATTATTACTCAATCCTATGAAAAAAACCCTAAATACCAGATAATCACATATTCAATTATCACGGAGGATGTAATCCTAACCCCAATTCAATCAATTTTATCAAACCAATCATTATTCGCAAACGGGACCTTACTTCATTATCTTGTCATTACTCACTTTAAACTCAATTAGGTTTCAAAATTAAGCAACAGAAAACGGCTTTACCTGCTTCCGTAATCTAGATCTCCGAGCAGATTCCCGATTTGATTGCTTCCTCTTCTGTTTTTTCAATTCCCGTTCGTCCTATAGATCAAAAGTACAAGTTTGGTAATAAATCGGTGAGTAGGTCCTTCAAATGCCTAAAAGACGAAAAATACGAAAATAGAAAACTGGATATACAACATTAAAATCAATTTGACGATAATAAAACAAATGATTAATACATTTAATCGATGTGTGCGCCATTAATCGGAGATCATCCCAAAATCCCTAATCCAAATCAGAGATCTATTTTTTTTAATACCACTTTTTAAATCCTAAAACACATGATATCGACAAATTTCACGTCTTGGCCAACTAACAATCGGAGGTACATAAACCCAATTGAACCACATCAAATAAACAAAAATCATGTAATAATTCGAGGAAATGGCTTACCGGGACCCACTGATCATTCATCATGCCAGGTGGATTTTGGCGCATTTTCATCGGACCAGAACCGGCAGAAGAAGCATTCCACAAATCCATCCCCACTACAGGATTACCAGGTACAGACGTCTGGAAATTATTCTGCGCGTTTGCTCCTGATTTTTTTCAATTACGGTCTCGTTAATCGAAATTAAATAGCGTAAAATGACAGATGGGCGTCTAAATATCCTTACCATCGGCGAGCATTTGGTCAAAGCTTCCTTTCTTGGCACCAGAGAATCCCTACAGTATAGAATTAGATTTTATTCCATATCGATAGACCCTATCATAAAATCTCGAGTTTTACGTATTTAATTCAAATTTAATAAAAATCTCGTGTAAATGTAAAAAATAAAAATTAAAATAATAAAAAAATTAAAACTTTTAAAATCAGTAGAAGCTGATAAACCAACCTGGTTATCGTTATCGTCACTTGCATCTGACGAACCTTCACTCCCACTTTCAGCACTGGTCATGGCAAAAAAATATATACTAAAATGTTAAAAAAAAATTATGTAATATTTAATAACATTTTCTGAAATCAAATATTGTCACGAACGACCTTTGTGTACCGACATCGTTTCCAGAGCCCGAAGCTGCATTTCCACTATCTCCCGTCTTTCCGCCATGATTTACCAAAATACCCTTGGGTTTTTTACTTGAGGCACGGTCCTTTCCCTCGGTTGCTTTACCGTCCAATTCTGCAGTTCCTTGTTCAGCACTTGGAGTCTGTAAAATGAACAAAAAATACTTACAAATATATACATTTTACAACTAGAATGTCGTGTCGGAATCACCGACTAAGCAATGTAAGAAAAAATTGATGTCTTAAAATTACCATAGGCATGTGCGGATGAGCATAGATTCCACCGGGAGGATATAATGTTGGATATGGAACTGGCGTCCCGTAAGGTGCCATCATAGGATGCTGAAAAGTAATTCGACAATTTACACGAAGATGTCAATTTTGGAATTTTGAAAACTCCTATAATGCCAAACACTCCCTTCGTTTCAAAATAAGTGTCACTACAGCCATATTTGTTTTTCATTATTATTCTTTTACCAATTTTGCCCTTTATTAATTATCGTTCAAGCTCATTATTCTGTACAACTAATTTATCTTTCTTCAAGGTTTGTAAAGGGTAATTTTAGGCTTCTCCATTAACAAAGAAGCTATTTATTAGTTTTCTTCAGGGGTGGAAATCGGAACGGGACTTTCGAATTCCGTCGATTCCGATCCGAGAAATTCCGATTTTGAAACAAAGTTTTTCATTTGGAATTCTAAAAGTTCCAATTTTTTATTTTTCCGGATTTTTTTTCTGGAATGGAATTGGAATACATATTAGATTCCAATTTTTATTTCCAAAAAATATTTCCAGAAAATCCGATTAATTTCTGAAAATTACACTTACTCAATATTGAATTTCAAAATTCCGCCGATTCCGTTCCGAAAATTTATGATTTCGGAACAAGTTTTTCCGTTCCAAATAAAGAAATTCCAATTTTCGATTTCTCCGGGTTTTTTGTTTAACGGAATTTAGTTTTTCATTTCTGGCAAAAACTGGATTTTTTTCCAAAAGTGTCAATTCCGATCTGATCCATTCGATTTCCACCCCTAGTTTTTTTTAATCAATGAGCGTTTACCTTAAAACAACACTTATTTTGAAACACAAGGAGTATTACAAATTATAGGTATTCAATTAAATATTCTCGAATAATCACCTGGCCTCCCCAAAAGTAGGGATGTGGACTAGGAGAAGGAACTGTTGAAGCAAAGAAAGGTGGAGTTGCTCCAGCACCGTAAAAAGCCTGGAAATAAGTGACTCGATTGAATATACTTTTTTTTATACAAGGCAAAACAATATATTTAAAAATTGAAAGAGACATCAATTATTTAAAAAAAATTAAAAAATAAATAACACCTGCATAGAGCTAGACCAATCGGGATATGCAGGTGTAGAAGGTGTAACAGGTGTTTCCTGTAACCGACAATGAAAAAAAGAAAAGTATTAGCTTTATTTAAGCCACCATATACAAAAGCTGAGAAGATATTATTTAGCAAATGATAGATATAGAGAAGAATATACCGTACATTTGCTGAAGATGCCGGTTTGGATGACTTTGTAGGAGTGCTCTCTTCCCCAGCCCCCATTGTAGCACTAGTGGAAGATTCAATTTCCTACCCTACTTCTGATAGATTCGATTTTATGGTTTTTTGTATCTTAAACGAGAAGATGAACACCTGGCGGCATTGAATCATGGGTGGAAATTGTCAAAAAAATAATAACAATAATAATGATCTAGTAAATGAGTCCTAGCGAATCATTCCAGCAGTAGTTTTTTAGCCTTTAACAATGTCTTTTTATATAATAATACAATGAAGGATAAATTACGGCCACCCCCCGGTAAGGTCAAATTATGAAAAAAAAACCTCATGTTTGGCAGTTTGGGTAATTACAACCACCCAACTATGAATCTTCTTATACGCCCACCCTTGTCGTGTCAAATTTAGTGGAATCTTCTATATTAGTGGAATATTCTCCAGTTAGTACCCGTTTTACCCCATTCGTGCTCCATGTATTGAAACAAGATGATCATAGGATGTGTCTCTTCACTTGTAAATATCAGATTGTGGTGCATCAGAAAATACATCTTTGGCATTTTTGCACAAAACAAGTACAAACTAGAAAACATTCCACGGAATCTAGAAGATTATGTTGAATTTGACACCATAAGTTTGGACGTGTAAGAAGACTCATAGTTGAGGGATGGTGGTAATTACCCAAACATGAAGGGTATTTTCGTAATTTGACCTTAACTCAGGGGTGGTCGTAATTTACCCTACAATGAATGATAATGCAAAAAGTTGGAAATGATAATTGCATACCAACAGCTAGAAAAGTAATATAAAAAAAATAGTGAAAATTTGGATAAAATTATAGAAGTTTAGATCCGATCGAGAATGACTTATAAGTTATAACACAGTGAACAAAGTATTTTAAGGCCTAGTTTGGTTGGGTTGCCAAGATAAGATTAGCCAAGATAAAATTAAATAATCTAATAAAACCCAATTGTATTTTTGGACCTTGAAAGATCCAATAAAAAACATTCCTAATAGGCAAGATAAGGTCCGATAACATAATATTTGCGAGTCGACCCGACAAGTTATTGGGATACCAAACATCAAAACAAAGTCCCATTATTAAGTTAATCATAACTAATCTCCCCAACCAAACGATGTAATTTTGTCCCAATGTATATTCCTCTAACTCAGGGCACTTATTACAGGTAGCAGCTCTGACTTAATAGTAGAGTTGAACGTAAAACATTTTCTACTCATTGATTGGCCTAACGAGTAAATTCAAAACAATAGAAAATAGCCTACGTATGAAAAGGGAAACACAATGATAAGATAGGATGTGAAAGCTACACGCGAACTTGATTTCGGATGAAACGAATTACCTTCCCTTTTAAGATAAAAAAAGAAAATTTGTTTTCAACCACATAAATTCATTAAGTTGATCTTCAACTTTGTAAAACATGACAACATTTGAACAATGTCTAAACTTTTATACTGAAATATATTTATTCGGGTATTTTAATATATAATGTTTCATTACTTAAACGTATTCCCTCGGTTAAGTAATTAACCAATCTAATTACTATTAATAAAGTATAAAATTCAAACAACATATTTAAAGCCACTTTAATTAGAACGCTGCTCGCAGGACACCATTTCGCCAAACTTGCGACCATTTTTTTTCGTCGTAAAACATTGGCCTTACACACCCCGGAAGAGATTTGAACCCCCGAAAACACTTAAGCTTAGTGTTGTGAACAATTAAAAAAATAATTAACATACAATAAGATGTTTACAGGTGTTTAATTTTATAATGAGAAAACAAAGGTGGAAGAGCTCTGAATTCTAAATAAAGTAACAAAATGCATTGGAACTAACTAATTTGAAGTACTCGTAATTTGTAAAAGACGCTAAAAAAATACGAAATTCAATGAAACGGAACACTAGTCTTCTACATTAGCAACATGAACTACTTCCCTTCTCCTCTCTCGTTTTCTTTTTCGGGAGGATAACAATATGCAGCATTGCCTGATCAAACAAACAGTGCCTAAAAATTGAATCTTTTAAAAGCATATTCATCCACAAATAGCAACGAATCGGTTCTCATTTACAAAGCTTCAAAAAATTCAGATTAACGATTTTTTTTTTCCACACAACACCACCATGAACGAAACCCAAAGTTACATCATTTAGATCATTAATATATAATCAAGCAAAATGGTAATAAATAAATTGAAAGCATGTATGAATGCGGACATATTATAGACCCAAATAGCAGAGAAAGTGAACGAACCTGGTACAAAAACCACACAATTCGCCCTGAGATCCAACGGTTGCAAAATTCCGACCAGAAAATCAGCCGTCGGGATACAATCGGCGTATATATTATGTAATCACTGTCAACAACTACACTGAAGACCTAATTACATAATCCCTTGTTGCGGAAAGAATTAATAAAAACAAAATAAGAAATCGGCGTGGAAATAGCAAAATTGAAGAATTACAGCTTAATTAATGATGATTTTAATGGTCTCTCTCTCTCTCTCTGAATAAAGTTGGAAGGTGGTGTGGCAGAGTTGCCGGAGAGGGGGGCAAAAGGAGGTGGCGTGGGGAGTGGGGGGGTGGATAGGGTTTTGGAGGGTGACACGTGAGGAGGAAAGTAGAATCCAGCTGGCGGAAAGTGAGTGGATATGCATGACTTGGCAACCATTTTATTTTTGTTTTCCTTAACTAATGTCATGGTTTTTTTCCCCATAAATAGTATTAAATTAAAAATTAAAAAATTAACACACTCTGTTAATATCTAATAAGTCCATACATAGTCCAATCTATATTATATATAAAACTAAGATACACAATCAAAGTTTTCTAATTGAGGAGATTGAGTTCATAATATTTTATAAATTTCAAAATAACCCCACTTACCATATTCACCCATATTACTTATGAATTAATTTCACATTATTGGTTTTTAATTTTATCTCTCCTACATGTCAAAATGGTGTGTTTTTATTGGTTATTGATTTTCCTTTTTAATCCATTGTTTCATATTAAAAAACGTAAATATATAAATGGACATTCCACTTAATTTGGGTTAATTAAATTTTATGCACAATATTATATTAATTGCCAAAAAAACCCAATTTTCAAAGGGGAAACTACAGATAAATCCCTAATCCAAAACTCAACACACAGATCAGTCCCTAGGTAGTTTCCCCAAGCAATTCAGTCCCTATTCACGCGTCTGACATGCAGTTCAGTCCCTAATGTGAATTTTATATATTTTATTATATTCTCTCTCTTCTTTTTCACTCTCACCCTTTTCTCTCTCTTCTTTTTCTCTCTCTTCATCTTCTCTTTCTTTCTTCTCTTTCTTCTCTGTTTCTACTGCTCTCTTTCTTCTCTATTTCTTCTCTCTTTCTCTCCTCTGGTTTCCTCTTTTTCCGACGAAAAAATCCCTGTAAAACCCACCCACTCCACAATGGTTTCGAATCCCGGAAGGTTATTTTACTGTTGACCACACCATGGCTACTCCCATTGGTGTGAACCATTTGAAGTTGGGCAAACTTTTTCCAACTCAAATCGTGAAGAAAATGAAGCTACAAGTGCGTCGATGAACCAAGTCCATCAAGAAAGTGAAGTGAAGAATTGCAATTCTGAAGGTGGAGTAGTTCATAGTTTGATAGTGTTGAATCTAGTAATATTTGCAGTCTACATGTTATGTAAAACCTATGTACTGTTGTTTAATTAGTGAACATAAGAGTACAATGTATAAGCTGGTAAAGTTCGGGTTATTCGTGAATATAGTACGCTTTGTCCACCAAATAAGTACAATGTATAAGCTGGTAAAGTTCGGGTTATTCGTGAATATAGTACGCTTTGTTCACCAAATATGTACAATGTATAAGCTGGTAAAGTTTGGGTTATTCGTGAATATAGTACGCTTTGTTCATCAACTAAGTACAATGAATACACATGTGAAGTACAAGTGATTCGTGACTATAGTACGATTTGTTCACTGATAAAGTATATGTTTGCCATTTATATAGTATTGTTACAGTCTATATATTATTGTCGGTCCAATGCATCCATATGATCGCATTTTAAGACACAACTCTTCATTTTAAGACTATTAAGAATGAATGGAGACAATGTGGGAGTTGATCAATATCGATTATGGTAACAATTGAAGAAAATATTATTTTTACACTTGAGCATTGTAGACTTGTATGAATATATTGTATAGTATATGAGTATCATGTATGAAATTCAACATATTTATGGGATCTTGTATTCCAAACGCAACAATAATTCTCACCTACCTTAAAATAACCATCGAAAACATAATTTATGCATCTCCCGTACTTATTGATCATTAAAGCGTCAATGAAATTGGTTCAATTCAATTCATCAAAAAATATGGTACGCTTTGATCATTGACTGCAATCTTCTTTTACATCAATTCCTGCAATTACATACACATAAAACTACAATTATAACAAATACAACGTACTATAAAGTTCCACATGTCAATACCATCCAAAGTTACTAGTAATACCATTCAAAGGCACTAGTAATACTATTATGGCATATGACTTATACTACAGGACCATCAAACATTATACTTCTATTACCATATGTCAATACCATCCAAAGTCACTAGTAATACCATTCAAAGGCACTAGTAATACTATTATGGCATATGACTTATACTACAGAAGCATCAAACATTATACTTCTAGTACCATATGTCAATACCATCTAAATGCTTTCGGGACAGTACTTCGAGTACCCTGTGTCAATACCATCTAAATGCATTATTAATACCATTACTGTCCATGACACATACTATAGAACCAGTACGAAAAATACAATAAGCCTCTTTCCCATATCCTATATGAAACCCTTGTTAAACCCTTTGGGGACATGCTAATGTCACCGAAAAATAATACCCATGAGGAAACTGTTACAAAATCATGAAATTCGACAACAAATAAATGATATTTGCAAACCCAAACAACAGAAAAACAGATATGAACCGAT